AGTTTTAGGAATCATGTGATATAAGTGTGGAAGAGCTCATAGAGGGAGAGTTTTAGAGTTTCCACTAAAAATGCCAAGAATGATGAAATCCCCTTAGAATTGTTGTGATGCTAGTATCTATAAGAAAATAAAAGGGTGGCCTTTGATCACGAGGATTGCACTACGTCATCCATATTTGGATGGTAGGATATGAACTAAACTAAATGAAATGAACTCAAAAGAAAATTTGACTCTTTTAGATAAAACCGCTTTGACTTGCTAGCAAATACTCAAAAAATAATAATTGGATTTTTTTAAAACGAACTTTGTACCGAGCCAACCAAACTAATCTTCTTAATGTATCTTATAGATAAGATATAAATACTAGCTCTATTTGAATACCGAGTCTATCTTTGCACGATCCATATACCTTTCATTCGGCGAAACCAATTGTTAGTCCAATCATTTTGTTGTAGAACTTGAACCTAGAACAAGTCAATCAAAATAACTTGAATTAGTATAAAATATAATTAACCGAATTACTTAATTAATTTTTAGGATAAATAGAAAATATACAAATTTAAAATATCAACAGAAATAGAAAAAAAAAGATATAATTTGAAAATAATGAAAATATTTGGGATTTGATTGATAAAATTTATGGGTTTGAGATGTAATGGAGGATGACTATATAAGCTTGGAACAAAATTAAGAATTTTCCATAGATTTACTAGATATTTCACCAATTTTTTATTGGTCATGACTTTTAATAAATGGAGTTTTAATTCTTTATTTATTTTGAAAATTTATGGGTTTGAGATGTAATTGAGAATGGATATATAAGTTTGGAACAAAATAAAGATTTTTCCATAGATTTACTAGATATTTCACCAAATTTTTATTGGTTGTGACTTTTAATAAATGGAGTTTTAATTCTTTATTTATTTTGAAGTTCATGATTCAACATTTGACGGTAAATTCCAAAATTTTCTCCATTTCTAACTATTAATACCGATAGCTAATTATATATATTTTTTATTTAAGATCATGCTTATTGTTTTTAAAAAGGATTTTGTCCATATTTAGATACTTTATTCTTCAAATTGTTTGAATTAAATCCTATATTTTTATTTGTTTGTGTTGATTGAGACTCTATACTCTTCATTTTGTATTATAACACCGTTAATTGTGAGTTGACATGGTATATCTATATCCGAAAGCATGACATGTGTCACACTTGGAACAGTTGATTGAGCACTAACGTGGCACGTCCGCATCTAAATGCGGCACACATGTCGGTGTGAGGATATATATATATACACACCTAATTGCACAAACCTTAGAAAGTAAGGATCAAAATGTCTTTATGAAAACTTTGATGACCAATTTTTTTTAAATAAAGGATCAAACTCGTTTTAAAAATAATTTGAAGGACAAAAATATCTTTTTTTACAATAACTAAAATGAAATATTTTGATAAGTTATTTTTAGTGGGTGTTAAATATATAATAAATGGATGAATATTAAAAAATAAGAAATTACGAATATTTTACCAATTTGAAGTAAAAAAAAAAAATGAAATTGGTCTCTTAAAAAAATTGAGACTACATCATTATATATATATATATAGATAGATAGATAATTAGCTACTAGTGAGCATTACTGTTGTTTTTATTTTAATTTTTACAAATATATTTGTATTTTTTTAATTGTATATTAGGTTCATTTTTGTGTATTTTATTATTTTTAAATTATTATAATATTTTATTGTGATGGAGTCTTATATATGATAAGTTATGCAGCACTCAAGATAAAGTTTTAAAAACACAATAACATAAACAATAATAAATAATAGGGATAATTACTAGAAAAACCTTATAAAAAAATTTTCTATTTAAAAACCCACAAATTTATTTTTAAATCTCTCAAACCCAAAATAATATTTTTCTTACCAAAAAACACCTAATAATTAACACTAGTGTTCACTATTAGTTGTTTTGGTAAGAAAAATATTGTTTTAGGCTTGTGAGATTAAAAAATATTATTTTGCGTTTGGGAGATTTAAAAATAAAATGACGACTCGTGTTAGATTGAAGATTTTTTACAAGGTATTTTGGTAAATATTCCTAGTTTAAATGAAACCATTATCTTTCAAGATATATATTTCTATCACGAGATGATCATGTTTTATTTAATTAATGTACTAAAATATGTTATATATTCATCTTGTAATTTAATTTAATTGTTTGATAAAAAATATTGAGTTTTAATTAATTAAAAACTAGTAGTACCGATGATTCTTTTTTTTTCTATTAATGTATTAGGATTTAAGAAATCACTAATGTTCATAAGCATACATATTTTATTTTTCTTATTTGTATGATAACCCTTTGATTAAATTACAAGAGAATGACAAGAGTCTCATTTCATCAATATTAATTAGTTAAATTGCCTCGGTTGCAATGGTTACTAGATAGTAAAATTAATCTCGTAATTAATGAAACAAACAATCGATAAAAAAAAAACTCTAATAAAATAAAATTTTGAGTATAATAAAAAAAGTAGTCAAATGTTAGTATTTAAAGTCAAGGAATCTAAAAAAAAAAAAAATTTCTTTCGAATGCAATAAAGAAGAACTTGACTTGATCATGAAAAAATAATAATAAATATCAAACTCATCGAAAACTATGAAATGAGTTTATTATTAGCTAAAAACTATATATAAAAAAACTCTAAAAAAATCTCTATCTAAAAATTCATCAACTTATTTTTTAAATCTTTCAAACATAACAATAAAAAAATTTTCTTACTAAAAGACCCAATAGTTAACTAGTGTTAAGTTAGTGGTTAACTATTGAGTGTTTTGTTAAGAAAAATATTATTTTGGGTTTGAGAGATTTAAGAATAAATTGATGGGTTTCCTGGATATAAGATTTTTTTAGAGGGTTTTTCTAGTAATTATCCCTAAATAATAATAATAATAATAATAATAATTTGATCTTTGCAAATTTTGAATTATTTTGATTGAATTCTTATATTGAAATCTCATACATTACATATGCTAAGTATTTAAAAATAGACGTGTCATGTCAACACAACGTCATATCACAAACAACGGTGTTACAATAAAGAGTCTTAAATAACACAAATAGGATAAAAGATCTAAATCAATACAAAAAAAAAAAAAAAAACAATACGTGGCCTCAATCAATACAATTTGAAGAATAGATGGTCTAAATACAAGCAAAATTCTTTAAAAATATCATTTAAAAAAAAACAATGTATAAATGAATAGATGATGCTATTATAAGCATATCAAATGTATATTTATAACATTACAGTTAAGTGACTGGAGATAGTTTTTTTTTTCCCAAAACAACACTTCAATACTCAACTAGATAGCAGTTTATTGTTATTATTATTATGAGTAAATTGTATGATTTTTTTGAGGTATCATGACGAAAACCAAACAAAAGTTTGAAAATATAACAAAAAAATCCCTTAACATTTAAGAAAGTATTATAGAAATCCCTTATAGATATATAATGAAATTAAAAACTTTAAAAAATAGAGAAAGAATATATAAAAAGGAAATTATTATTATTTAGTAGATGAACAAGATTAAATTTAGTATTTAATTTTAGTCAATCTTGATTTGATTTTTTTTTTAATATTGTTTCTATAATTTATTAATGTTTTTAAATTTTAATATAGAATATTAAATAGTAATTAAGAATATTCTCGATACAAAAAGGGTTTGTGTCAAATTTTGAATATTTTTTTTAATGATCTTTGTAATTTCCTGTTATTTGAAGGAGCTATTGTAATTTCTCCTATTATGATTTGATAATTCAGTAATTTTTTCAATTTAGGATAGGGTGAAAGTGTTTATGCTTATATTAATTATATTATATGTTTCCTTGACAATATACTTATAACGAACGGATATATATAAATATTCAAAATTTAAATAAGATCTCTCCCTTAATAATCTTCTATTATAACTTAAATGTTTATGGTTAAGACTGAGCTGAGCTTCAATACTTCAAATTCAATCTCTATAATATCTCAATCAATTTTACCCATTGAACTAAGCATTTCTTTGTATCCAAACTCAAAATAATACCTGCATTCTTTTCACCTTTTATTTTAGTTAAACTAAATAAATTATTAGGTTGAGTCAGGGATCATTTATTGGCAAAATATTTTATTATGTTTTTTTTTTTTTTGGTAGGTTCAACATCAAGAGTGTTTTTGAGTTAATTTTTCCGTACATATAAATTAAATTACTTTTCAACATGGCTAAAAAAACAATTTTCAACACATGGTTTCGAGTATCAAATATTCTAAACGTAAATTTTTTAAATATTCTAAAAATAAGTTTTCAAACATACCAATGATAGAGATCGAATTTTAAACTTGAACTTGCTTAGCAGAGGGTTACCATTTTGTTGGCAAAGTATTTTATCTTGCTTTCTTAACTTGCTTGACGACAACTCTTCACCTTCTATTCGGGCTTGGAAAAGTTAATACACACATGACACAATTCTCAGAATTCAAAACCTGTTCTATTTTGATCGGCCTAAACCTTATCCATCTTGGTTGGGAATAGGCTAGGTTGGGTTGTTGGATGGGCCACTGAAATTGGGTTCAACAGTTTCTTTGTTCATCACAAGATGGTTCGGAATTAGAGCTACACCTCCCAACACCAAAACCCTGCTTGGGTGCAGACAATAACTTCGAAGTTTGAAGCTTGCACGTCTGCAATATGTAAGTGTCTGTGTGCTATCTAGATTTCCTCCCTCACTAGGTCAACAGTTCATCAATTCACTGGGATAATTTCCTTGCTTTCCAAGACTCTGCCCAGGGGAGCAAAGCCACTGTTTTTGCTCCCAATTTTTTTGATAGATCGAACCCCCAATATTTTCTGTATCCCTGTTTACCCCACGTGCCCCCACCTAAAAAATCCCTACTTTAATCCAAACGCCACCTTCCCATCTTCCCAGAAAATCAAATCTCACATGGCAGAACCAAACCCCAGTTCCTTCGCTGATTTCCCTGAAGATGTCCAATTCTGCATCCTCTCGTTCTTAACCCCAACAGAAATCGCCAATTTCGCTTGCACTTCCAAACGCTTCGCTCCTCTATGTCAAAACGACAGCAAACTCTGGTACTCACTTTGCGACAGGCGGTGGGGCTCAAAGACCCAAATCACTAAATGGGGCAACGGTCAAATCTCCTATAAATTGCTCTACAAAACGCTTAACAAATGGGAAAATCTGATTGGTTTCTGGCGCCGTTGCGGTCAAAGTCGACAGAAAGAAACGGTGAAGCCGCCGGGGTTAGTTTTCTTCGAGTGGGGCCCTTCGTTTCTCTCCGGTTGGAGAGTTTCTCCGTCTCAAAACGGTACGTATTGCGTCATAAAGTCTCCATTTTTGTGGATGAATATTTCGCCGGAGGGTCAAATTATGAATTATTTGGATCCTGAGGGGCAAAATGATAATAAACTATGTGGTGTATTGGGGTTTTTAGATATGGATTTAGTTGCGGTTAATGTGAATTTTATTGGGGATTCACATTTTAGTGTGGAGGAGAATATGAATTTTGCTTGTAGAAGTTTGAGTTCCGCGAATTTGAAAGGGGAGGATAATGGAGAAGATATTGCTTGTGTTGAAAGTGGATCACCAGGGAGTTTACCGGAAACGTTAGAGATTTATCAGTATTATGCAAACAGGATGAGTCCTGGTGCGGATAGGGCGCTAAGGAAGCAGAGGAGGAGAGAGAAGGAGAAGCAGGGGAAGAAGAGGTGGGAGACTGAGCATTTTTTGAAGATTGTTGATTCATCACCCACGCTGGATCGCCCTTTGCAGGGTCTGTGGAAGGTGGGTGATTCTTTTGTTTCTACTATGTTTTTTGAAGTTTGAGGATTAATCATGTCAATTGTAGTTATTTCTAGTTTGTTTTTTCCAGAGCAGCTTTTATTTTTCGTTTTAGATAGAAGTTATCATAAGGTATTGAACTCTGATGTATTTCTTTGTTAGTTAGTTTAAAAGTTCTTTATTTTGATCTGAGCTTTTATTTATGTTTCTTACATTGAGAGATTGCAAGAAATTATTCAGCATTTCCAGTGGCACTGCTCCCTTCTCCAACATTAATGTGGTAACTAGTAACTACCTCGGATCCCACATGAATGTGAGAGAGCACTTCATGGGAGTATTGAATAATCTCTTAAGAAATTGGTGCATTTTGTTGCTATGCATTGTGAATGTGTGTTGTCTGAGAGGAAATAACAATGCCATGTTTCAAGGAAAGCACCAATCTATTATGTGTGGCCTTGTCAAGTAAAAATTTTGTCATCTGATAAGCTTTGATTTTGGAATCAAACTCTGAGGGCATTGCTTTTTGATTGGGAAATTTGACCCAATTCGGTGTTGCTGGTTAGTTAAAGTTTGATTTCTTCACGGGTTGCTGTGATTTTGGCATGACCAATTGTCTTCTGTTTCTGCATTCTTTCAATAAGTTTCCTGGCATATTGCTTGGAAGACGATGGAGATATGGAGGCTTTTCTCACAGCACTCTTTACATTCTGTCCGGCTTGTTGCAGGGAATTTGTGAGGACAGGAAGTTGGAATTTTATCTTGTGGGATATGATGGAATTGGCATCTCCTGCCGGAGAGTTGGCAACTTGTCTGAGCGTCTCTCTAGTTCTACACCAGTGTTTTGGACATCAGATCCTACATTTATAGAGTCCCCTTTTCCAACTGAGGAACAATATATATATGATACTCGGATTCATCTTCAGCCACCTGAAGCTGCAAACTCAGATTGGAAATTGCCTTTAGAAAAGGATGCGGTCTCTCGCATTATGTATATCAACTCAAGTTACGATTTAGTAATTCCAGGCTTGGAAGGAGGTTCTGCAAATCCTTGGCGAGTTGAAGGAAGGATTTGGCAGTACAGGAATGGGACATTTGGATTTGGCTTTCTTCGGGATCATTTTATTGTGGACCTGAACCACATTGCCAAAAATGGTTGTCTTCTTGATACCCTGGAGACTTTTAGTGATTGATATCCTTGTACAGGATCTTCTGCCTACAAGTAGATTTGTAGGCAAATGCCATAATGCCCATTGGACCTGTACTATGTTGTAGAAAACTAATTTTCTGTAATGACTATATTTATTCCGTGTTGATTTGTTTCCTTTTGTTCTCTACTTTCCTAAATGCCCAACTGCACATTAAATTAGTAGCGTTTTATTAGGATTGAGACTGCAGAATGCAAGTTCTGTATGAAGCCTGGTCATTCCTCTGTTTTCTTTTCACATATCTGGGATGTGTGAGGTATACTGTGTACGAAGCTAAAGCCTTGCTCCCTGTCCTATCATTGGGATGGGAGATATACTCTGAGGATTGGGGTTTCAGATTGGTGCATGCCTTGCCATTTAGCTGGAGTTTCTTATTGTTGGAACAGAATAAGTTTATAACCAGTGCTGCAGACTCAAACAGTTGCGGATTTTCATGGTGTTGGTATTGATGCAGAAGATTGACGTAGAGTAAGAAGAAAATAGGAAGATCCTGCTGCTTCCTTCTCGAGAACAAATGCACAGGCAAAGAAGCTGACAACACTGAATATTGCAATTTTACCAGAAAAATGCTCCTAGCAGAAGGGTTAGGTTGTATGTTCAAATCCAGCTTCGCCAAATTATAAGCTTGATAGCATTATCTTTGCTACCAGCTGTCATGAATTGTCTTTGCTTGTGCCCCTTAACATCAAGTGATGGGACATGCATAATTGCAGGTGTTCAGTCAAGTCCAGCCTGCCTAAGGAATCTTGGACTCGAAAAGGACAAAAACCAGCGATAATTGAAAGAATCGAGAGAGTAAAACAATGCTGATCATCAGCATCTACTGGAAGTCAATAGAAAGCAATACGAATTCACATATTATACCAGTTTAGCTCACCATATCACATATTATAATCAAATAGGTCTCTCATCTCATGCGAGCATCCATGATAGCAGAACAAAATCCAAATACAACAAATAAAAGCCCACACATTTCAATGAGAAATATCATGATTTTAATCTAGCTCGTACGCATAAAGCCGTTTGGACCGCAGGGAAAGTGTCAACCATGAGAGTGACAGCAACACCATAAGGCAGGAAAATACAGGATGAACATGCATCGTTCAGCAGATTACGAATCGGCAGCAGCTTCTCTTCCATTAGCTTTGTCGTTCATGGAATCCTTCTCACTATCACCCTCGAGTTGACTCAAGTTACCCTTTTCCTTGATAAGTTGGTTGTGGTGGTGTTTGCAGTAGAGGCGACCTTCATGTGCAATGTAGTTGGATGGGCTAATTGTACATCCTCCGTGGATGCATTTGAAACAGCTTTTGTGGTAAGGAGTTCCATTCACCGAAACCTTTTAATAGAGAATCATTAGTAGTCTGAATGATTGGTGTCAAGATCCTTTACAGCTCAACATATTTTGAAATTTAGTATATGATGACTAGGAAAAAGAAAAACATAGAAACTGGAAACAAGTTGTGTCTGCTGTTTTTGTGTGTCGGAAATTTTTGAAATGTGGCAGTCTTTACCTTCTCAGTTGGATAGACAGTGTTCTTGCAGCCGAAACACTTGTCTCTGGTTCCAGCGAACATGGTCGAGACTTTAGTTGATATAGGTTTCTGTTCAAAACAAATCATGGTCAAAACTAAAGGGAGGTGGTAGAAACTCAATTGCAAGACATAAGCATGCATCTAAATGGTAGGAATATAGGCAAAATAAATTACCTCACCATCGACAGGTTTCTCTGGTTTTACAACTTTTGGTGTCCCTAGAAAGGAAGTTGAATGCGAGTAAATCAGTTTGAATTCGAAAAGGAAATGAATAACTTATGCAACACTGGCTTTCTATGAATTTTTCTTTATCTTTTACCCTCAAAGCTTTTGTCAAGACTGCCAGTTCTTTTGAAGAGTTGATCAAAATGTGGCCTGCAGTAGAGTACCCCTTCAAAGGAATTGTAGTTGCCAAGCTGCAAATAGAACCACCTGTCAACAGATTGCATATAAAGCCTACAACGTGATACATTATCTTCTATTATCTCTTGCTCAAAACGAAGTGCGGAAAAAGTCCAAGACTCTAAATTGGTTAGTAAGAATCATCAATTATATCAATCAAGGTTGAAGGTTGTTCTAAGACTTAAAGTTGGAAAGATCTGGCCTTCGTTTAACAGTGAACAGATCGGTGAGAATGACATCAAAAGAAGAACAGCTGAAATAAATCACGTCACCACAGAACAGCAAAAAAAAAAAAAAAAAAGAGTTCACTGTACTCTATAAGGAGCTCCTCCACCTGAAATGTTTGATTCAGTGCCGGTAATATTTGAAATTTGAATTTGCCTTTATCTGCTTTTGGTGCTGTTAATTTCTGCAGGGTTTTAGTATCAAAAAGGTGATATCGCAGTGCTCATATTAGTGCAGAGGTTTGAACTTTGAATTCGAACATTAACTTGATAATCCAGTCATCCATGATACATGCAAATCGAGGCCCATATGAAATTATGAAGGGTGGATAGCTAAGAGTAAGAGGAAGATACTTAAAACCGCGAAGCTACAGCAATACGGAACACATGGAGCTCTATCTGCATTTAATAGAAAACTTCTGGGTATTCTTCAACTTTAAGATGTGCTAAAATATATGGATCTACGAAGTTTTCGATCTCATGTCAAAATTCTTGCATGTACATGAAGCATACCTTGAGGGTTCCTTTGCAATGATGACATCGGAAGCAAGCCTTATGGAAAACACGGTTATCAGCGGTTAACTTGTCCACAAGATAGACAGTCTTGTCACATGCCATACACTTCTGGGTTGTTCCTGCAAATGCCATGGCCTCAGAATTCTCACTTTAGCAAATGCAACTGTAGTCTCTGTGCTCCTATTTCCTCCCTTTGTTTGTTTTGTTTTTGTTTAGGGACTAATGGGAAGAGAAGTAATGAGGGAAAGATAAGGAAGAGAAATGATGGACAAATGTGGGCTGCAAGATATTGCGGAGACCAAAAGCAGAGTTGTATAATTGAAGTTAGTGGCAATTGGCAATCATTTTGTCCAACTTTGAAGCACCTAACTACCTCTGTCTACAGATATATATATTATTTTTCCCCTTGTAATCTTTAACATTCGTAAATAGACCTGTGAAAACATGAAGTTTTAACTTTGGTTTGGTAATGTGGTTGGATTTTTCTGATAAATGTTTTACCCTCATTTGGTGAAATGTCTTGTCAAAATTTTCCTTTACTGTTTGCTACAAACTGAAAACAATAGGAACTGGGGTTATTAATGTGATTAAAATTTATAAGCATGGCTTCATGGGTGTATGTGGGCTGTCATATATTGTTCAACCATATACCTGGCTACATTATCGAAATTGTTGTATGCAAAAATGAACCAGCCCACCTAGATGACTTTTATTATTTGTTAGATGGATCAATAAATCTAATAGTTGGACTTCTGCCCTGTTACTAATGTCATCCTACAAATATCTTTGCTGTCATACAAATATGAGCCAAAGGATTAGGATTTAGTTCTACGGTTAAAATTTGAAAGGAAAAGGCGGGGACCATGAAAGCTCTAGTGTTGGACTCATCCTGCAGGGTAGCATAGATTTTTGTCAAGGCTGAGCAACGTTTATATGCCACGCATACTGAATTTCAAATTGATCACAGAATTCAGAAGCCTAAATTTGCGTCTTTTTCTAGAGCTATTGACAATTGACCCAACAACGAAAAACAAAAGTGTGCCATTCGTTTTGCCCTCTTATCAAAACGAAGATCCTCAAGTTGAAAAGGAATGCGGTGGAGAAATAGCACGAAAAGAAAAGGATACGTTAATAATAAAGGTTTCATAAGAATTTAACTTAAACCTTCTCTTTTTGCTTTTTTTTTTTTTTTCTAATCCTCTTAAAAGAAGAAGAAACTAGAAGGGCTTTGCTTTGCAGAATTAGAGCCCCCGAGGCTTTCCAATGCCAGCACCTCACTATCCAATATCCAGCTGGATTACTTGCATCTCACATTTTAATCCTGCTATTGTATTATTGTCTTCAAATGCAAGCATCGAGAATTGCTTGAGCTTATGAACAAGGTAGGCCTAACGAAAAGATGGTGTGCAATTGGTACAAAGCTCTCCACCATGACCATGAGATGCTAAGGCAAATGTGGTTAAATCATAAATGTAGGTTGTTCTAGGTCCGTCCTTTCATTTTAAAAAGGCCTTTAGGAATAACAAGAGAGTCTAACATGATTGATGCAGAGTCTTCATAAGGACTTCTCATGCCACTCAATAATGACGAAAATTGAACCCAACATCCATGGATGCCCCCACGCTCTTTTAACTTTGCATCTTCCCCAAGGTCTGCTTCAACTCCTAGCGCTACCAACCAGAAATGATAGAAGCCCTATTTCACACTATATTGCCGAAGGTAAAGTGGGCTAAAGGCCTAAACTTGGGCCCAATTATCGATTTAGAATATACTTTTTCTTTTCTTTTTTGAGAATTTTAGAATAGACTCCTTGAGCGCACTGACATACTCACATGCACTCATGATTCATGAATCATGACATCCAGTTAAGCTCTGGTCCTCCCAAAATAATTCTCATGTGAGATGCTTGTTAATATGTCAAGAAGTAGCATATGTCATCTTTTATTACATTTTTTCCAAGTTAGAATCGTGTGCCCCAAATAATCATGAGGACCGCTTTTTTATATTATTATAATTATGTGGGCCACTTTAATTTAAAGTTTAAACAGTGGTTCACATTGGTTTGATGACCGCATACAATATTGTTTGAAAATTTTCGCTATCCATAATAGTGAATTTATAATTCGAAATAAATTACACTGGTTTCGATTTGCATTTATAGGGGGATGATTCACTGAATCCTAGCCGAGGGAAAAAAATCTAGCTAAAAATACAAAAGTATTATCATATATGGTTCCACATAGTACTATGACGTTATCCATTTTTCAGCCTGATTCATGAGTAGGTAAAATTGATTTGACCTAGGACAACAGTTGGGCATTTGGTCTAGTGGTATGATTCTCGCTTTGGGTGCGAGAGGTCCCGAGTTCGATTCTCGGAATGCCCCTAAATTAGTACTTTATTTTTTCTTAAACCTTTTTCTTGTTGCGTTTCCAGAGATTTCAAGCTGAAAAAGAACCTTTCATTTCTAGTTTTCAAGCCAAAACCCCAAAGCAAAACCCTAACTCCACATTAGGGACGAAAAACGCAATCAAATCCTCCTCCTTCTCTTGAATCCCTTCCTACTGCGAGTTACTGAATCGAAACTGTCGATACGAGAGAAAACCACAAAATTAAAAAAGAATGGGGTTTGGGCAAGTGGTGATTGGTCCACCGGGATCAGGGAAAACGACCTACTGCAATGGCATGTCTCAATTCTTAAGCCTTATCGGAAGGTAATTTTTATGTTCAATTAATCAATCGCTAGAAAAAATGGTGATGTTAATAACAGTGATTTCTTCGTGTTAATAACTTTATTCAGGAAGGTTGCAGTTATCAATTTGGATCCTGCAAACGATGCATTGCCGTAAGCTTTCTTTCTTTCAAAACCCGTTTACAATGTTTCTTTTTCTTGTTGAAATACTTGGTCATTACGATTGTTCTTTACATGAATTTAGGTATGATTGTGCTATTAATATTGAAGATCTTATCAAACTAAGTGATGTAATGAACGAGCATTCCCTTGGTCCCAATGGAGGTCAGCGTGCCAATTCATTTAACTCTTATCATTACTTTCTGCTATTAATTGCTTAATGCATATATTATCCGTTGTTTTACTAGGTCTTGTTTATTGCATGGATTATTTGGAGAAGAATATCGACTGGTTGCAATCTAAATTGGAACCTCTATTGAAAGGTTCGTCTCTTTTTCATGCTTTGCTTTGTTTAGGACATGTTTGAACTTTGCAGTTTTAAAACCCACCAGTTGATGCTGATGCTTTTTGAAAATTGTTATAGTCCAGAAACCAAATTTGTATTGTTGATACACTATTCACAGTTTTGAAAGTCTTTGACTGTGTTGCAGATCACTACCTTCTCTTTGATTTTCCTGGCCAGGTGGAATTATTTTTTCTCCATTCGAATGCCAAGAATGTTATCATGAAACTCATTAAGAAATTGGATCTTAGGGTATGCTTTGCTTATACAAAGCTTTTATGTTATTTTAATTTGTTAACTGCTCTCTGTGATATTGGACAGTTCTCAATGTTATAATTGGATTTCTCATCTGATGCAGTTGACTGCTGTGCATTTAGTTGATGCCCATCTTTGCAGTGATCCTGGAAAATATGTTAGCGCATTGCTTTTGTCTCTATCGACAATGCTTCATCTGGAACTCCCACACATCAATGTCTTGTCTAAGATCGATCTTATTGAGAGCTATGGCAAGCTAGGTGTGGTCGTTTTCTTCCTTTCTTGTTTTGAGGATTATGTTATCTTAGCAAAATAATTTAAGCACTGACTGTATAGGTCTTTTAATGTGTTGCAGCTTTTAACCTCGATTACTATACAGACGTGCAAGACTTGTCATATTTGCAGCACCATCTTGATCAGGATCCTCGTGCTGCTAAGTACAGGTCTTTATTTCTAGAATCGATTACCTGAATTTTTCAAATCACTCTTTGTTCCGTATTACCTGCATGGTATGTTGAATTCACGAGTTTTACCTTGCAAGAAATTCTACCCTTTTGCCTTTTCATCTAGGTAGATTTTCATTCTTCTTGACATTGTGGAAAATAGTGTGTGATTCTGTTGGTGACATTAATCTTTAAGCATAAGTTAATGCCGATCAAAAAGTTTGATTCAACATCTGGTCATATGTGAAAACATAAAATGTGCTTTGTAGGAATAATGGCTCCTAATCTCAGACCTTAGTCTGTGAGATCATTCTTCTATGTTGGGTTATTTGAAGGTCTTTAAACCATTGCACCATTGACAGGAGAATGATGTCACTTCTGATAGAACACGTTGCTGTAAATAACCATTCAGTTGTCGAAAATTTCTTATATGCAAGCTGTTAAAACTTCTTGTTGCAGAAAGCTTACAAAGGAGCTGTGTGAGGTAGTACAAGACTTCAGCCTTGTTGATTTTACAACTTTGGACATTCAGGCATGGCAATTTCTCTCCACTTCCTCCTTGAAGTTGTATGAAATGTTTGTAGATGTGTTCTTAGTTAACATGCCTTTTCAGGACAAGGAGAGTGTAGGGAATCTTGTGAAGTTGATAGACAAGACCAATGGTTACATCTTTGTTGACATGGAAGCCAGTGCAGTTGAATTTAGCAAGATTGCAGTTCGCTCTGTTGATTGGGATTACTACAGATATCCTTATTGTTGTTAACTCTTATTGTATTAGATGCAGTTATGTGACATAGGTATTATTTTGTTTAATTGTGCTCTTTATTAAGCGTCAGTGATCCTGCCTTGCTTATATCACTAATTTTTACTGAAGCTCATGCGCTTATGGGCGCATATTCATTATTTTTATAATGGTGCTTCTCTATTTGAATAATTCTTAGCAAATTTTCCTATTTTATCAGAAACTAAGATCTGGTTCTCTTGATAATCGATAAGTTTTCGTTATGGTCTCAGTAATCAGTAAACTATTGACATAGAATGAGCATTTTTCCTTGACCAAGTAGTCCACAGTTGCAGCAGTGCAAGAGAAGTACATGAAGGACGATGAAAAATTTGATGATCTCAACTGAACCTAGTTTGGTGAGATAATACTGTGCATATTGAATTTATCAGTCCCCATTTTATTCAGCTTGTGACTGTTTCTTATAGAAAGTTTTTGGCTGCTGTTGCAGGTGTTTCAGTTTTATTGGCGGTAAAGTACGATTCTGTAGTTTACTGGTAGAAGATACATAAAACACTACAGATCCAGGAAGTTCGCTTCTTCCTCCCTCCACTCGCATCCATGTATGATGTATATAATGAAAACTGGGAACTGACCTTTTTGTGGATTGTGCAATTTAATCCTCTGTTAGATGCAGCTGAATTCTGACTTGGAGTGTAAAAGTAAACAATCTATGATGGTTGTCTTTTCACTACTGACATGATTTTTAGTCATTGAGATTGTAATGCGTTGGTTTTTGCTAACAATTACGAATGGTGTAACTTTGGACATTTAAATTCATTGTATATTAGATGACAATTTTCTGGCTAGTATGATCTCGTATCAGATAAGTTTTGACACCAGAAGGAGACTTGCACTCATACTCGCAAATGGTTGCTGCATCATCATGAAGTGTACTTTTATCAAGTGTATAGATGCACTTAGTGATCGTGTTTTCTCGCCAGTTTGTGGGGAGTCGAGTACTATCTTGCCTTTGAGAACTAGTGGTTCAATGCATCAAGTAATCTGGGTCAAGACTATCTGCATTGTCGACTTAATTCTTTTTTTTTTTTTTTTTCTGATGATTATGAATTTGGGTTTGCTTCTATCATGAGAAATTGAATCCACAACCTCTCCATTGGTAGACATATTCATCGTTGATTTTGAAAATGCTATATGCTCAAAGATGGCATAAATTATGATTGGTCTCAGTAAAAGCACAAGCCATTTGCTAGAAGCTTGTATGAGATTCAAACTGTCGAAATTTGATGCCAGTTGGGAATAGCGTATTATAGGTCAACTTTTCTTCAACCTGCAGTAATGGACATCACGTCAAAAAATGGACTTGAGACGTGGGAGCTGGGATGATATAAGTCCCCTTTCCCATCTGCGGCAATTAACTAGAATAGAAGAAGGTTCTATTTATTTTGTTTCAGGGGATGCATCGAATCTAGAAGAAGTTTCTGCCTTGTCGTCTACGCATGGGATAGAATGTAAAATTTGTTTTCAAAAAATCAATCAAAAACATCACGATTCTAAATTCTCGTTTTTGAAAGTTTCAAAGATCTGCAATATTGTGGTATTGAAGAGGTCCTACAAGATTCATTGTGTTTGATAAACTATTTTTTGTGGTCTCGAAAGCGCGTGGATTTGTTTTATTAGAAGTCCGTTCCTTCACAATACTTGGGACTCCTTCTAGAGAGAGAGGGACTAATTGTCCACGCAGAAAATTACCTATAACATGCTAGCCTTGAAAATTTGAAGGTACCACCAGGAGTTAACTTACAACGCGTCCTATAGATGTTTTCTGAATCAATCAACAGTATTGTGGGCACCATCGTTGCTGATGGATTGAATGCGAAAGCATGACTATGGACTTAAAAGAGTAAAAAGTTTGAAAATGAAATGCACCAAACAAGTACCTGATAGCTGAAATGGAAAACCAAGTGCTCTCATATTCGTTCGTTAGTTTGGTTATCCCTGTCTGTTTCTATTGCATGAAAAAGAAATAAGAACGGATTAATGGTTTAGAATGTCTCTCTATTATTTTGTTTATTTTAATCATATTTTTTAACTAAATTTTTTATTAATTACATCCTTCAATATTAACTTTACGTCTTAATTGTGTCCTCCATCCAAATTTTTGGCCAACGACATTAAGTCCGAAAGAGATATGCATATGATATTGACGCATGATATTTTTTTTTAAATTGAGTAAATAAAAAATTTGAAATGAAAAATTAAAAACCCAAAATGCCTCCACATAAAATTTTTCAAATTCTCTATTCAGTTTCAATTTTTTTCTAACCTAATCCTAATTTTCTTTCTTTCTTCCAAATCCCACATCTCATCTTAGCTCTCAGCATCGCCATAGTCTCACCCATCACCATATGAAGCAGTTGATTGGGGTCAGTTTCGATAATAGGTGATAGTGAGGCGGAAAAATAAAGAGATCAGGCTAGGGGTTGTTGATGATGATGGCTAGGGATTCGGGTTTAGAGAGAGGAAATTGGTGTGTAAAGGCGGCTAGAGGTTGGTGTTTCGAATGATATGGTTGTTGGTCATGGCAATGGAGGTCTCTAGAGTGTTGCCTGGCGTTTGGTGAGAGAGGGTTTTGGCTAAAGGATGGGTGGGAAAATGGTTGATGGCGGCGATCGGTGGTTAGGAGGAAATGCTGGAGTTTGGCGAGTGATAGCTAGCGTGGTTGTGGGTGGTGAAAAAGAGGGTTTCGATAGGCAAAAGTTTGTTGATGGTGGCAGTTTAGGATGGTGCCTGTGGATGGCGAGAGAGGGAGAGAGAGTGGAGGTTCGAAGCAGTGGCTATGGTGGAGGAGAGTGGCTTGAACAGCAAGGGTGAGGGTGGAGGTTTGAGGCAATGGCTTTGGTGGAAGAGAGTGGCTTTGAACAGCAAGCGTGAGGGTAGAGGTTCGAGTCAGTGGCTATAGTGGAGGAGACTAGCGTGATTTTTTTTCTTTTCCTTCGCTATTTGATCACTATAATTTTAGATTAGGACTGTATTCATTTAGTTTGATCTTCTTTTCAAACTAGTTTATGTAAATCTTTAAATGTAATTCTTTTCAATTTTCGTGATTAATAGAACTAAATTCTCTAACCGGTGATGTTATTTGATCAATGTTCTTTTTCTTGTCAAAGAATTATGAAAGACTACATTTCTTCTTTTTCCTTCCTATTCTGAAGGGAAAGGGAGAAAGAGAAAGAAATTAGGGTTAGGTTAAGGAAAAAATTGAAACTGAATAAGGGTTTTGGAGATGTTTAGGTTTTTTATTTTGAAATTCTTTTACCTAATTTTTTTAAAAATTTCCATGTGTCAATATTTTGTACCTCTCTCAACCAGATTTGATGCCGTTAGTAAAAAATTTGGACGGAATGACACAATTAAGATGCAAAGTTAATGTTTGGGTTGAAAATCGTAAAAGGGATTAACTGTTCGCTTCCTGTCATTTTTTGGTGATTAATTAATGGGCCAAAGTAGGCAAGAGTGGTTGGAAGCAAACAAAGCGTGGTTGTTCCCTATTTATATCTATCATAAACGTTTTTCTTGACATCGTTGTCATGTTGTCTTTGGGAGAATGGCAAAGTCATTTCCGTCTCGTGACCGGCCTTTCAAGTCCTTAAAACTTGGACTTTAATATTGTTATTGCTTTTTTTTTTTTTTGTCCAAGCATATCATAAATGTGCTTAATATCCATATCTGGTTATAATGGTTAATTGATTTTTGTTTGCTTGCTATACTGTTTTTTTTTTTTTTTCAAGCAAAAATCGTTCCTCATTTGAGCGGGGTTTCAATCTTATAAAGTAAGGCGTAGGCTTAAAGCTAAGTTTGAAATACGTTTAGCCTAAAAAACATTAATTTAATATTTTTTCTTTTTTTTTCTCCCAATTCAAACATATTTTTATAAAAATACGTACATCACATTATTAAAAACACACTAATTCAAATACCTTAATAAGTGTTTCATTCAAAATATTGTAAGAGATTTTAGATAAAGTAAAACTTTTGGATTTATACTTGTATAAAAAATAAATTCAAAATTCAAATTGGAGATACCATCTTCTTTTCTCTCTACAAATTAATTACAATTTCTTTGGCATGCAATATAAATTGATTCTTACTTATAATCCGGTTGTACTGTACATATATCAACCATTCAAGGGGAATAATGTCGATAACTAATCAATTTTCCCTCATCAAGGATTATGAACCTAGCTAGCTGCATATTGTTCAGGAGGATCATGCATGATATTTGTTACTTCTACGGCATTTTGATGCACCCGATTATGCCAATGCAGGAAAGATCATAAGAAACTGAGTAAAATAATTATTTTATATTAAGCATGTATAAAAAGTTTCAGGGCTTTTTAGTACGTAGTACATGTCCATAAATGGCAACTTCTGACGATCAGATCGTTCGATTTTTCATTTGTTTTCCTTATAGTCGGAAATCTAAGCTCCATCTTAATTCTCTATAATGTTGAATAATTTATTATTATTATTATTATTATTATTATGTTAATATTTAGATGTCGTTTGATTATTAAGAATGCAAGATCCGAAATGGGAATACGATAATTGAAATGAAAATTAAAAAATCGAAATGATATTTGTATTTTCATATTGTGTTTGAAATACTAACGATGAATCGGAATTCAATTTAAATTTTTTAATATCCGATTTTTTATACAAATAAAAATCATGAATAAAAAAATAATTTTATCAAACTATAATGATTATAAAAATAATAAAAATGATAACGGTAGTGGTAGTTATGACAATGGTGATTTTAGTGGTGGCCGTAGTAGTGATCAAAATAATTAATAGACAATAAATAAATAAAATATATTATTATTTTTTAAAAAAATTTATTCATATTTTTTATTTTTATTCTCACATCTTATATGAGAATGAAGTTATGTGTAAATTTTCATTCTTATTTTTATCCTTCATTTTCATTTCTTTCTCATTTTTTTAATAAAATAATTATAATGTGAAAATAAAATTTTCATCATTCTATTTTTTATTATCAAATAACAGGTGTGTGAAAAATATATAATAAATGAGATTTCAAACGTATTCCACGCATGTAGCATTCTCCAAGAGACCGGGCCTCGATAGTCTCGTAAAAGAAATCTAGCCAGCTACAAGAATTAATCCACTTAAAATAAGCATCACGTCTTGACCATACGCCTGTGGCTGCTTTTATTTATCAAGGCTTGCTTACATTTTCATGTTACTTATCACTAATAAGAACTTAGAAGTTTGAAAATTTCAGAGACTATTTATTTATAAACCGGTACACCCACAGATGGTGAAGCTAAGTTAAACTTGGCGATTATTATAAATATTGATATGTAAATTTACAGAAGTTCGGTGATTTTTGATTGACTTGTTGTCTAAACCATATGATTATTTCTCAAGTAATCAATCTTAATTTGTTAATTAATTCTCAGATCAAAAGATTATATAGTAAGAGATCTTACCTTGAAATTCTCATGTTTACCGAAGATATTGTGTCTTGGTAGAACAATATTAATTAGCAGCTATGTATTGAATTTCATCTGGAATCCTCCCATCACTGAATTTGTATAATCAATCAAGTTAGCTTGCTCGCATTAATTAGGAATTAGCTAGCATGGTTAAAACTGCAACCATGTTGATTGGAACTTCTTTTTAGCCCATATCGATCTTAACAAGTCCAGAATTAAGAAAAAGACGTTGATGATTGAGAGGTGACGATGCTAGCAACATTGACTATAACATGGCCATGGCCAGGTGTGAAGATTTCAAAGTTGTAATCTGGACAGTAGTTAGAATGAGATAAGCAATTAAGATGACAGAATAAGTAAAAAAATCCAATGAAACAATGGTGGATAAAGCCTAATCCAATTCCCCAGCTATAAGGTTGGTTGATGTTTTTCCCTTGCCAATAATTCTATCTGTCCCAATTTTAAATTTTCACCTTGTCAACTAATTAACAGCAACGTTTAGCAGTCCATCTAGAAGATAGTATATGTTATTAATTAGTAGCAATTCATTATATATATATATATTATTACAACATATCAAGGCTTGCATCACGTTCTCTTATATTTCTAGTAATGTATGCCTAGAATTCAAACTCTCTTCTCCAAGCAATCATGTTTAACCAGTCATACTACTTTTTCTCCATCCTGATTTGGAAGGAATAAATTACAAAGTCCCTGCGTTACCCCCTCTCCACGAAGTCAAATGACACGAAATGAAATTAACAAGGAAACTTCTATAGGATTTTGTTTTTATTTGACTAATGGCTAGCTAGCAGCGTGGATCTGGTCCTCTTTAACATCCCTTCATAATTCATTTATATATATATATATATATATGACTTTCTCTCTCTCCTATGATCCACATAAAGTATAGCCAATCCAAAACTTGATTACCTCTCAATCTAAAACAGTACGCCTTGTATAACAAAACCAGAAACGATTCAGAATTTATGATCAGATGTTGAATTCATTCATTTGTGGCAATTTTCAGAATCAATTAGAGCTAGAGCTGGATGAACCGTGGAACAGCCCTTCTTCAACTCCAAAGAAATCAAGCCCTTCTGCAACACCAAAAAGATCAAGTCCTTCTGCAACGCCAAGAAAATCAAGAAAGAGCAGCAAGAATAGCAAGAACCCATATTCGTCCCGTGGCCTTGACAAGTTCTCTGCACTTCTAGCCGAACTTGAAGAAAAAAGGCAGAAGATATACTCACAGATTGGGTCTGAAGATGTACCTATGGTTCGTTTCGTCTACTCAAGCTCAAATGATTGTGTTCCTGTTATAGTGAAGGTTAAAGACCAAAAGCAAGACAAACCCAAGGTCAGTAGTGCTGATAATATCAAAGATAAGCCCATCACTTCTAACAATGAAGTTGTGGATAAGTTGCCAATAGAGGCACCAGTTGAAGGGAAACAAGTGGAGCAGCCAAGATTGGAAACTTATAAAAAGACTGAGGAGAAGTGTTATACATGGAACATGAAGTTGCACAGATGGAGAAGACCTTATTATTATATGCCAGTTGCAATAGTCTTGATTTTGTTATTTTTGGTTTTTTTTGGGCGATCAGTTGCTATATTCTGGACCTCTCTTGGGTGGTATATAGTCCCTACATTGAGTTCTAAAAAGCCAACACAGAAGAAAGAATACGTCAGAAAATTAAGTGAGCCCAAGATGACGATTAATCATGGGGTTGGGGTATATTCTCCTATGAGACATAGTACTGGCGTTATGTCAGATAAATTGCCTCAACAACATGGGCAACGAAAAAGCTTCTGAAGGTGATTCAGTTCAATTAATTTCTTATTTCTCCAATTTTTTTTTTTCCCTTTGCCTCTTGGGGTTAAGATTTTGCTTCTTGTTTTAACAGATGTAAAAATTTTTGGTTCTAAGTTGGATGAGTTCGAAAATTCAACCCCTCCTTGGAATTTTCACATTTGTAAATTAGTTACACTAGTCTTATGGGTTAAGTTGACTTAATTATGAAGGCTCCGATGTCAAATGTTTCTTTGTGTTGGGCTTGCATGGTGGTTCTGTAAGAACTCGATCATTGAAAAATATGGTTGGGATTCCAGGACATTGTACTTCTATACGTACATATTCATCAGCACTTTTAACTTCAAGTATCTATAGGTTTGATATTCATTCAAGCAAAAATCACTGCTCTGTACATGTAATCATCCACACATTAACTAATAGATTGACAATTACTCAAAAGACCATAAACTTGAGGGCTGCTCTAGTTAGCAAATGGGTGGGTATACTCCATACTTTGTTAATTTCAATTCCAAAATCAAGCCATGAAAATGTATTTTTTCTAAATTTTCGAGTCTCGACCCCAATTTTCTAATATTTTTAATTAGATTGAAAAATTAGAATTAACCACAACGTGTGCAGGCTAGCTAGAATATACCACCTATCCATTAAATGGGGAGGAAAAAAAACTCGAAAGGACCATGCTAGCTAAGAGATCCTCGAAGATGATATGAGATGTGATCATCTAGAAAAAGCTTAATAAATGACCTGTTGGCAGTTCTATCAAGAGGCTGCAACCATAAATGACATTTAAATGGTCCTCATGAAATCAGTTAGGCGAGACTTTGTGTTGTATTGTCAAAGAATGTCCACCAATGTGCCCGCCTTGCGTGCCGAATAATATGGAATTAGTCTAGCTTTTTGAGTTTGAAATACTTTCAGGATAAAAAAAGAAGACGGTACAGCAGAATTGTTTAAACTTGTTTACCCTCTTGTTTCCTTGGGTGTAAGTTCTGAGTTCGATCAGTTGAAGGTAAACAAAGAACCTCAATTGATGATGTCTCTGTGGCACAAGACCTGATTTAGAGCTTTTGTACGTATTTCCTTCAACTTTTCTTCAATAAAATAAATAAATTATTTTAAATACTATGTAGATTGATGAGAGAAACATTTTATATTTTTCATAAATTATATTTTATACCGACGATACAATAAACTTTCAGATTAAAAAAAAAAAAACTAAAATAATCTTATACATATAATAAACTATGAAAAACTAAAATAACCTCACACACACACATATATATATATATATATAATTGAACTTCTATTGTCAATTAAATTAAGTATTTTCTCCATTATTCTCATTCAAGTCTCTCTCTCTGGAGAGAAGACTTAAAAATCGAAGAGTTATGCAACAAAATCTCATTTCCACCAACTTCAACCCTTTCACCACCAGCTGCTTTCCCAGCAATTCCATCTTTGTTTGAAGCGTCACCTCTCTCACTACTAGCTCCCCTCCTGCTAGCTCTGTCACCTCTCTGACCACCATTCCTACCACCACTACTTCCACCATGTTCAAGACTGCCACGTTCACCTTCACCACTAGCTTCTTTTTTTCACTATTGCCACCATTACCATAAACTCTATCAATTTGAATAAACAAACTACTTACCTTATATTGAAACCAATAATAACAAAATCTTAAATAAATGTAAATCAAGGATTGACTCACCCTTTGCAATTGTTGAATAGTATCCTTTTGATAAATCCTTGAGTTATGTCCAAATTGTTGACATATATTGTATTTAATATTGCTTGATCTCTTTCTCATAGTGCTAAGGGTTTGTTCTTCTTGTTCGCTTCGTCTATTCTTTTTTGGTCTACGAACATCCCTCTTCAGAACATAAAGCACTACAATTACTCTTCCGTGAGGTTCTTGGTTTGTTTCAGACAATGAGTGCACTATTTTATCACAAGTCTTCAAATATATATATATATATATAGGAATTGTGTAGTAAAGTAATAATAATCTTTCAACTCACTTCTTTTGCAAGATAAACAAGCTTATATATGCCTATAAGAGATCTCAATCATACTTTAGTTACTATAATAACACTCATAGGTCTTAAAGTTAAAACAAATCTTCTTTCTGCTCTCATAAACTTAACTTTCATCTTTATTAGTAGGTCTTATTTTCAGATTCCTTGTATTGTTAAGAACCGTTCTCATAATTGGAATAGTCCTAGTCTCTCGAGATATTCCTTTCACAAATTTAACATAGAACCTTGGTATTATCTTCACCTTAATCTTTTGTAGTAAACTGGTTATAGGTGTATTTCTGGATTTTTCGATCAATTGATTAAAAGATCGTACTTGTTGTTGGTCAGATAATTGTTTTTAACATCTTTATCATATAAAGAAAGGCTTTGACTTTTCAATCACTTAAAACAAAAAAAAAAAAAAAATTGTCTTCCAGTTTGGATAGGTGCAGACACGGTAGCCTGTACGCAAAGAGTTCCCTGATTTGGAGGGATTGCCTAGGTGACAAAGCATTGCAAAATACTTGACTCGATACAATGGTCAACGGTCAGATTAAATATTTAATTGAAATTAATCAAATAATCAATTCCAATCTTCTTAATTCATATATGAAGTAAATGATAAAATTAAACTACATTTATTGACCGATCGAGCACACATACGGTGGATAGACTTTCTTTTTTTTTTTTAAGCATCACTAGCACACAAATTAACTCAAATAGGTTGGCATAATAATTAATTAAGGTGGTTTGCTATTAAACAGGTTTCAGAAGAAAAAATTTAATATCAATTTATTGACATATAACTAGATGACTTAAAGATATCTGTTATCGTCAAATTTTTTTAAAAAATAACTACACACAAACCTTATAATATAAACTCATTTATGTGCAAGGGATTAATCCATAAAAATATCACAGCTTAAATAAACAAAGACACCGAAGCATAAGTTTTCTAGGGTTTTTCTTTGTTGATTAAAAAGGGCTGACCATTTATGGACTTTAAGTTATTTAGAATTGATTTTCTGAATTTTTTTTTATTAGTTCTGAGAATCCTTGAAATTTTATTTTTTAAAAAAAATTAACATATCTTTCAGTTTTCTATCACTTATCTCAAAAAAATAATAATCATATAAATAGTTTCATGATGAAAATCATTTAATGAAACCTATATGGAGCTCTTAAAAAACATTGAGATCATTTTGAAGTTATTTTCTATTTTCTCAATTTTTCATATTTTTAATATTCAAAAAATAAACAAATACATTTTTTTATTTTGAAAATTCTTGAATTTTTTTAAAAAATAAATTGAGTTTTTTTTTTCCAATGTGTATGTAGAATTTCAGCTCAGAATATTCAAAATTAATTTTTCTAAAAAGGAAAGTTGATTGCTGGAAATCATTATATTAACTAAATTTTAAAAAGTTAAAATGCAAAAATCTCTAAAACCAATAAAAAAGTTTAAGAATTCAACTTTAAATAACTTAAAGTTAATGAGTAGTTAAACCCCTTTTAACATTTTTTTCCCTAGCCATTAAAATAAAAAATTGCTCTTTTTTTTTTTTTTTACCGTCTTCTTTGAATAGTGACCTTGGGATGGCAAACCCACATTCACAAATAAACCCAGCTAATGTTTTTTTTAAATAAAAAAAGAAGAAGAAGAAGAAGAAGTCATGTATCTGTTCCACGGGTTAAACCGTGTTGCAGTGCCAGTTATTTGTCTACAACGGCTTAGAAATAACGAACGAAGGGTCGGGTATCTTTTATGTGATTTCAAATTAACATACTGAAGTGATGAGGGTTGGCTTTTTGGGGAAGTACATATTAGTCCGTTTCAGTCCTTGATGTTCGTGAACAAATTAGTCTTTGACATTGTCCAACCAACCCATCTTTATCCGTTAATAAACCAGTTACTAATATTAAAAATAAAAAAATAACAAGAAGAAGACAGAGGGAGAGCCCTACTATGGCTTGCTTCAAACACACTAACGGTCTGCTAATTATTTTGGTTTCTATAACCGATTATTTAATATTTTTAAAATCCGCAACCAATTTATGGAGGGATGGGATCTGATTTTTGAAAGCTAGGGAAAGTTTACCATCTTGTTTAACCTAAACCCGTCGGACTAAACCGAAACAGAAATTATATGTCACATCATTTTGTATGAACCTTTAATATAATTTGTTTTAAATTATTCTTCTAAATTTCTTAACAAGTGTCTGCTAGCCAGAATAGGAGAAGTTCTTTTAATAGTATAATTTACTTCCAAAGTTTGAGATTGTGACAAAATAAGATTTATTTTATTATTTTGATTTATTTAGATCTGAAATTATTTTTAATTATGATTGATTTTTTTTTTTGGTTATGTCTTACGGTTAAAGTGTTGATCATTAGTTAAAATATTTAAAAAGATGTTGTTTTAAATTTGTTAGTTTTTTTAATAAAAATTAAAAAAAATTTGAAAAAAAAATTAAAAAAAATTATTTTTTTCTTTTTACTTTTTTTGTTACAAAATAGCTCAATTACATATTATTAATTATAATAAATAACTAAAGAACTTCCTTAAAGCTAACTATTATTAACTACTATTTTTCAAAATTAGCTTTGTTTCTAAAAAAAATATTTAACAATTCAATTTTTTCGTTCCATTACACATTATTAATTATCTAACAATAAAACCGAGATTCATAGGCAACAAAATCATATAAATTTTTTTAAAGTTGACTATTATTAAAAATATTTTTTTTCTAAATTAATTTTAATTTTAAAAAATTGACATACTTAACAAAGAAAGATAAATTTATCAAAAAAATTAATAATTAGGGCTCCAAATAAGCTAAATTAATAATATAAACTTTATTTTATCACAATTCTAATTGTTTGAAGATAAATTATATCATTAAACCGTTATTTTTAGTTATTGTCTTTTCTATTCCAGGTATAAGTTGAGTTCGACTTCCCAGTGATCTGGAATGACATCAAATACTTTTTTATGTAATATTAATACTAGACAAAAATAAACTTCATAAGTTTGATGAGTGAGTCAATTTAGTTACACGATTGAGGATTAACTTTACAACCAGGATAGCATTGTATTTCGAATAACACATAAAAACCATGATACCCATGCTTCCTTTTCCGTCCACATTGAATGAAATGCTCTAGTTTCCTTCTACATTGAATAAAATTTTTAAGTTCCCACAAGGCAGCATCGCAGCAAACCCCATACCGACTGCGAGCAGGTGATCTGGTCCCTAAAGTTTATAATCTATTGCGTTTAGGTACCTTCTGTATAGAGAGGACAAAAGCACCAGTACTCACCACCTTACCTGTCGTGATTCAGATGGAAAAGGGTTTCTTGGATTGACTGGACCACTTGGGTTGATTTATTGCCATAGCACCCGCATCTGTCGTCCGCTAGTGACAAAGAAATTGGGCATTTGGGTTTCAGGACTTTGACTAGCTTCTTCTTGTAGATTTTAATGGACTTTAAATTTAGAAATGGGCCTGTGAAGGCTATAGGGATGATATGTTCTCGAGCCGAAAATGGTGTAAAAATGGTGGCATGGCTGGCGAAGCTCGCCTAAAGCATAAAAAAACAAACGACGTACCGAAGCTCATCGATGATCGGAAGCTCGCCGAAGCATAAAAAACAAACGACGTGCCAAAGCGAACGACGAGTCATTTGCTAGCTTTCTTTTCCTAACGGTGATTGAGGACTAGGCTTGCCAGCCCATGCGCAGTGGACTAGCGCGGACCGGCTGCCCGAATGCTTTTCTTTCTGTCTTTTATTTTCATATTTTTTAGAAATTTAGATTTTATTTTTAATTTTCCTCATAAAATCATGACATATTTTTGGCATTTTGAGTGATGCATATCATAAAATTTATGCCAGGACTTTTGTTTGGGAATTCAAAAATACCATTGAAATCAAAATATTAGGATTTAGCACGTAGATGAAACTAACTATTTTTGGGTTGACTGGGATTTAAATAAAAAAGAAAGTTAAAAACGCACATAAAAACATCATAATTAAAAACTAATTGAAACTTGTTAATAATAAGGATCCAACATTAAAAAACCATACGAATGAAAGTTTAAACTAATATTTTTAAAATGTTCTTGAATAGAAATAGTTGAGCCTCATGAGCCTTTGAAGCTACCAGATCCTAATTTATTTAAATCAAGTAATTTTAAAAATATTTCATTTTTATAAATTACACATTATACTCTTAAAAGGTCTCAATTTAACAAATTAATATCTAATTTATTAATTTAATGACTTTTTTATGTTCCTAAAATATTGACAACAAAATCGAGCACTCATTTCATGTGCTGGAAAGTAGTCTATCCTATTAAAAAAAAAAAAAAAGCTCTGAATTTCTTTGACAAATTGATAACAAAATCGACTCTAGAATCTAATAATATATTTGTATTTTATCAAGTTAATTACTTCCTTTTCCGTAAGATAGATGATTATTTCAATGCATTGGAAGTAAATAAAATAAGTTTTGTAAGAGGACTCAGCGACGTGCGGGCCGCTTTACTAGCGTCTATTCGTACAACAAATTGGCCTGCAGTCCGACCATTTTTTTTGGAAGGTTATGGTACAAGTACAACTACATTCGAGAAGGGAACAAAACCTTTAATTTTTGGTTGTCTACCAGAAGGGATCACTGGTGTTCTCGACCCAATCTGTTGAATTTTTTCAACGGAGGCGTCACTATTCCTATTCCTATTCCTGCACAAGATAACGCGTGCCGTTAAAAGCAGATATATTGACTTTGATTGCATTTACGGTATCCAATAATGAAAAGGTACATAGAATTAATTAATGTAACAAGTTCGATGAATGGAAGTCAACTTTAGCATATTAGCCGGTGAAAGCAAAATATTCTAATATGAAAGGGTTTGATAAACAGACGTCTTAAACCAGAATTCTTTTAATATATTAGCTTATTTTGCTCTCAACAGCCAATAACAGAGTTGTTCTTTTCTGACCTTGAACCTCTTCCGGCGTGTATCATCAGCAGTGAATTGAGACGTGTGAGGTTCACGTCTGGGAACTTCATTCCTGTAGTGCCCCCTTGCTGCTGGCACTCTACTATATTCTTGTGCTTGACTTCTTGAATTCCGGAAGAAGCCATCCTTAGCCCAGGTGACCTCATAATCAGCCTTCAATGGAGATCCTTGCTGAACAAAAAAAGTGTGACATGTTACTTGCCAATAGGAACAAAATAATTGATTCACAATAATCCATCAGCATCACCATCACAAGTGCTTTTCAAGAACCAAAAGAAGTGATAATTCAACTCAAACTGATAATTTAACTTGAAAATGACAGTTTCATCACCATTATCCAGCTCTAGAACATGAAAAAACAAAAGTTCTGTATACAGAATAAAAAATCAAGAGAATTATATGCAAGGAACACACAGTAGGGAGAATGCACAAAAAGGTATTATGCAAAAGTATTTCCTTTCTACATACTACCTAAACTACAAAGAAAGATTTCTTGTATTTTCTACGCATATTTTATAAGAGAAAAAAACTCCCATACAAAGTCATCTGCACATTTAGGAAAGGGACGTTGAGCATCTCTAATTATCTAATTTGATGCTTTCAATATTCCCAAATTTGGCCAAGTACATTTCCACTGATACTGGTGGGTTTTCCATTGCAATATATATGCCACAAGTCCACCAATGGTGCTTGAAGTTTAAGACTTCAGAAAAAAATGTGAAAGCACAGTTATGGTAAGTGCCAGAAGTATATTCCCAGAAAAGTTGAAGAGAAGATCAAATAATTATGAGATAACTTGTAAAACATCAACCGAACGGCACACAGACAAAACTTCCTACCTTCTGTAATGAGCGCCCACATAAGACCTTAAAAGCATTATAGAAGTCCCTATGCTTCTCAAACTGAACCACAATCTTGCATTGGAGGCCTGAAATTATGTCCCCACCAGTCTCCTCTGCATCCTTATCTTGATCATCATCCTCGGCAACATTAAGATTCCTATTGCATAAGTTAAAAGAAGCAACAAAAATATAATGCTGTCCAATCAGGCAAATATCATTACATTACTTGTAATGAGGCAAATGGTAACCTGCTATAACTTGATGATATCTTACAGAAACCATTGTACAAATTTAATTATTAATGACCTCAACAATTCTCACATATAAACTAGAAGCTTTCTAAACCTCTAACAATACTCTCTCCAAGTTCAAATTATAAAAAATGAAGTCAACCATCCATCATGAGATGCAACCTCAAAAACTTACTTTATCTGTGCATCCTGAAAACACTATAAAAAATAAAGTGGCAGAACTTTCCATTTCTACCCTGCCATTTATAGATATTCCACTCCTATTATTCATAATTTAATAGTAACACAGTGGGTAATGGAACCTAAATAGGCACCAAATTCTCATGCAATAGGCAAGGTTGTTGGGTAAGTTAACCTCACATTATAATAATGAATCACAACATTCCCTTTGACCATTTAACCCATCCTGCAACCTCGACAACTAACAAGTTCCATAGTTCCATTTGGAAGTAAGCAAATACCATCCAGTTATTGTCATTAGATATCAGACAGAAGAGGGATAAGTTCTGCTGGCAACATGAAAATCGCCAAATAGAGAATCATTTCTTCATTCGGCTAGACTTCCCAAACCAGGATAACTAAATCAAACTCCAACATTGCTACTAAAAAAGAAATTCTCTTTATCCAACTCTCAGAAAATCAAATGAATGCAGCAAACTTTAAATGCTATAGTATGCTAAACTACAGCTGCAAATTCTCAGACTTTCACATATCTACAACAACGCTAAAGCACCAGCAATTCCACAAACAAAGACAACATTAAGTTTAGAGTGAATCATCATAAAACTGCATAATTGAAAATACACTACCTTATCTTCCCAAATGTAGAAAAAATTGTATGTGTAACTAACATAGAAGGCTTCGACGAAACCCTAGGCTCTGCAAACCACCGAGAAGGAACTCCTTTCATCACAATCGTATCCGGCTCTTGCCTCCCTCCTCTTACATACCCTACCAAAACAAACACTAGCACGCATCAATAACTCACAAACACAAAATAACAACTTCAAAAAACAACGAACACAATTTTAAAAAAAAAAATTCAAAATCCACAGACCCTTATTTGCAAAAGCATAAAATTCCTCCCACAATTTCTTCATTCCTTCAAAATCATCAGACTCCGGTATAGACACACTAAGCTTATACTTCTCCCCTTGTAAATTCACCTCCATTTGATCCATTTTTTCCACGACATTTTTTCTCCAATCTAGAAACTTCTTCTCCAAAACCTTTAAATCCTCACTTTCCTCTTCATTTCTCTTTTTACTATTTAAAAACCCTAGGTCACGAATGCTTAGACTACCATGTGCTACCGGATCATCCCGCTTTCGCTTCTTGACATCCTTGAACCGTCTGATGTCGAGGTCATCTTCGGGGACGGTGACAGATAGAGAAGTCTTTGCAAAGTAGATGAGAGATCGCTTTAGCTTCCATTCGTCGATTGGTTTTGTTGCTGAGGATGGAAGTGAAGGGTGGACTGTGAGGTTGAGCTTCACGCGCGGAACTAGTGAGAGTCCATTCTCGATTTCTAGGGTTTCTGTTGGAGAGAGAGTCTCTAACGGTCGAATATCGCTGCTCATTGCTTTCTATGATCTTCTCTGTTCCGCTCTTCCGATTTCGATTTCTCCAGCTCTCTGATTTTGCCTCCGTTTTTTTTTTTTTTTTTGATGAGAAATTTATAATTGATAAATGTATGTACAGTAATTATTTTATGGGTTGATTGTTTTTTTAAGAGAAATAGTCATATAAAAAACAATCAATAATAAGAAGCTTAACCAGTTGTTCAATTTCTTTTTTAATTGTTTATCTCTTGCTTCCTTATTTTTTATTTATTTATTTTTATTTATTTTTGTCTATTTTACAAGGAGTGGTTACTTAAATTTCTCCTTCAGTGTTATAAATTTTTTTATCTCTCTGTTTTTTCAAGTGCTTTTCGATGGCCTCAAAAACACAACGTTCCGGCACGACGTAAATGGGCTAAAGCTGGATCTTGGGCTTAATCGGTCCAATTATGGTGATGACAAGCAAAATCCGTGTCCCCCACGGGTACGTGCAAATCCTCGTAAAATATATGAAAAGACAAGGAGGTCCCTTGTTAATGACGCGGCACTCGATAATTGACAGCGAAGCCTGACTATAAATAGGCTTATCTGCAACCTCTAAATCAAAAGTCAAAACTGTATAAACAGATTGGTTCGGGAGAGAGAGAGAGAGAGAGGGAGGGAAGAGTATGGGGCTATCGTGCTTCGCTTGCTTCGACGGAGGAAGCAAACCACAGAGACGAGAGGAAGAGAGATTGGCCTCTGCAGAAGCTCGTGCTAAATCGGCCGAAGCTGCCCAGAAACGGTAACCTGAACTGATCGTATTGGATGGATATGTTTGGTATTTATTGGATCATCGACTTCATTTCTGTTTCTTCTTCTTTTTTCCTTGTTTCAATGAATAAGTTTCATAATATTTGGCTGGTGTTTTTTTAATTTGGATCCCGATAGTTAGAATTTTATATGTAATTTAGCTGCTTTAATTGATTTTTCCATTTGCAAGTAATGTGGTGTTAATTCCAAATCAAAAATTTTCCTATGAATTTATGCTTAAAGTTCTACAATTGCTACCATCCCCTGTATTCCAACCTGAGTTGAACCAATCATGTGCTTTTAATACAATGGGTGGTTGTATTTTAGGATTGTAAACGTTCTTACGGATTCGAAGCCAGAGTTTTTTTCAGAAACAAAAAATAAAAATAAGTGCTGCAAAAATGCGGACTACCTCGGGGTATTTCTGTTTTAAGCAAGGCTTCGATTGAGTTAGTTGTTATAAAAAAATAGTAAATATTTAAACCTGTTTGATTTAGGGTTTGCAACCATGGCCATGCTAGTTGGCATATGAGAGTAGAATTTTCTCTAGGATGTTATGATGACCCAATTCCAGACTGTTGAAAGAGCAAGCTTTTTCTGGTGGGAAAACTGTGATTATAATCTCACAAAGAAATCAAACTTGAAGCAATTCAAATGATCTTAAAATTGTTTATAAAATTTAGATTATTGTCTGTTTTGCAGGCAAGAACAATTTGAAAAATCTGCAGCAGGAAGAGCTGCACGAGCACAGCTACAGGCGATGGCAAAGCAATCTGCAAATTCTAACAGAGGCGAACCTGTTCTAAAGGTTCTATGTTTGAAATGTTTTTCATTTTCGTGGTTGGTTGTAATAAATAGCAGCAATGCAATAGCAGTTAAATTTCTAAAACCCTTAACAGGGCCATTGAGGAATCTGATGTTACCTCTTTATAATGCCATTGTCTCTTGCCTATTGCTGCAATGCACTTGCACTTTGATATGGAATCTTTATATGGGTTCTTAACCCATTTGATATCGTTTTATTTTGTCAAGAGAACAAAAATAACATGAAAGTTTGATCCTCTCCTTGGTTGGTGATATTGATGCAGTGGCAGATGAGTTGAAGCAAAAACTTGTCCTTGGTGCAGTTGCTGTTTCAATTGTAAGATAGTCAAATCTACCTTTGTGGAATTAAAGGGACATCTTTATGAATGTAAGATTATATGTTTGATCTTTCCTTATGCACGCAGAGTTTTGTTTTCTTGGCTTGCATCATTCATTTATACAAGTCTAAGTTATGAGTTTTTTCTGTAAATATGATACTTTTTAATCTATTTTTTCAAAATAAGATATTTTAAATCTTATTTATAAAAAAAAAAAAAGAAGGTATTTTTGCCATGTAGACATCCATGATATTTTTTTAATTAAGCGTTATAATATATATTTAATATAATAATTTTTTAAAAATTAAAAACATAAAAGAAAAATTAACTTATGCTCTCTTGGTCTCTCTTTTGTTATCTTTATCCTAATTTCTTAAAGTTCAAATGCTTTCACAATTCAAAATCATAATTACTAGAAAAGTTTTTTATCTTATGAATATTGTCAACTAAGGAACTTTACTAAACTCTTTTGTTTTTATTTATTTAATTTTGAATTTTTTTTTTTAATTTGTATATTGTTCATTCTTAATTTTGAGGGTTTGTACTTTAAGAAAAATTTCATAACTTGTACTGTTAAATTTACCATCAAAATTATTAATCTCACTAATTATTTTCTTAGAATTATCAATACATTCTCTTCATCAATATCAGTTCATCCATTATCTTTTCCAAAGCAAAAACAAAAAAAAATAGATACCAGGATCAGTATGCCCAGCCCAAGGCCAAGCAACTGCTCACCTACTTCCCAAACCTCCTCCTTTCACGGTCAATCAATAGTCATCAGGAAAGCATTCTTTTTTCCTGGAAAACTAATACATCATTAATCTGGGATATAAAATGGCAGTCAAAGTCCAGCTCATTTACATTTCCTCTTTCCATTCTTGCAATTAGAACGTAGTAATGTAATACACAAACAAGAACCTTTCAAATATCAGCATAAGGCTTGCAATTTCCTCTATCAAAAGATTCAACAGTAAATCAACTTTTGCACTTTCAACAAATAGAACAACTGTGATCTTGGTATAATTACACATACATCAAGGGCATCAGTTATATCAAAAGTCAAGGTATACTTCTGGGGTACAGAAAATGAAGTCTGCATTACTCTCCCCATTAATAAGCAGAGATTCAGCAATGCTTCACATTTAAAAAAGTTCTTTAGTAAATTACAAAATTAAATTTTACTCATTGAGATGTCAACAACAAAATCATTTCCATATCAACATTAATGTTGTTTTTTCTAGCCATGTATCCTAAGCAACATTCCAATGCTGATGCACCTGTCTTCCACATTCCGTCTCCCAGACTAACTACTAAACATGGCATTTCCAAATTCATGCAAGCTAGTTCGGAGAATATGAACATAATAAGTCAACAATACCGGTTGTTTAAGATTATTGCATTGTCTTGGTACAAAAGTATCAACTGTCAAGGAAACACTCTAGCACTGGATGGGTTTTTATAGTTTCACTAAATTTTTTAAAGAGTACTCTTTGCAATTCCAGAGATACTGATATTTTGTGTCCTAGCTTCACAAAATACATATAAGTGGAATCAGATGCAGATTTCTAGTAAAGAAGAAATCAAATATTTGTAACATAGACAATGAGGCAAGGACTGGTTTAATTTGACAAGGTCCTCAGGATGCCCATGTGAGAAATTAACAGTACTATGTTAATAAGGTTATAGAAGGAAAAAAAAAATTCAAATGCTTTACTAATCACAAAGATGAGAATTGCATTTTTCTTCTTTGTCTATGTGTAGAAGCGTTTGCACAATAAAGTTGTTTCTCACTACATGAATAAGCCCCATGGGGTCGCATACATGGATCCTTTTCCTCCATTTTGTTTTCCATTGGACATGACTAGATTCAATAATGATGTAGGACAAATTTGGACTAGTGTCCTACAAAGGCCACAAGCTTTAAACTAAATCAAATACTCATAATTTCATTATTCAAAATCCTCCCATTACACAGAATATATAAGCACCAAATGACTTATATCAGAAAAGAAGACGCAACAAAGAGTCTTAAAACATCTGTTCAGCAGATAGATAAAAGCCAATGGTCCACCATTCCCTGTACTGATACTGAAAGTGTCATTCTGGCATGTTCCTTCATCAAATAACCAAATTTTAAAAAATTGCTCTCCCCTATTCAGACTAATTCTCCAAAATTAATTCTCATGAGCAGTAAATAGAGAAAATAAGAAACATAAACAAGATGCCCAGGAAAAAACCATTAACATGTCAAAAAGCAATCCAATCAAATGATAAGCGCTTGTTTGCCTGTACGAACAACACCTATAGAGATTATAAAAGCTCAGTTTTGCTTACCTCTACCGCCTTAGGCTCACCAGCTATAGACTGCTCACCTGCCAAATTAAATAGCATTTTCATTAGTCAATGGCCATGTACAATGGAAGTCTTGACTCCATAGTCCAGTTAAACTCAATATTAATTCCATTATCGAGTTACAATATCGAATATCACCTCCTTCCTCTATCAGATCTGAGGTCCATAAAGTGAGACTATCCTTAAGTAGCTGTATGATGAAGGTACTGTCCTTGTAGGATTCCTCATTTAAGTTATGAAGGTCTACTATAGCATCATCAAATGCGTGTTTAGCCAGGTGGCAGGCCCTGCATGATACAGATGTAATTTAAAAATAAGTTCAACAAACTGGATGTGCGTGCATAAGGTATTTGCAAACAGCCTGTGAATGTGTTTCCGTATGTTAAGCAAGAAAGAGATGTAGGTTAACCTTTCAGGGGAGTTCAAAATCTCATAGTAGAAAACAGAAAAGTTCAGAGCCAAGCCAAGTCTAATTGGATGAAAAGTTCAAAATCTCATAGTAGAAAACAGAAAAGTTCAGTACCAGCCATGCTAGAGACTGAAAACAATCTTCTTGTTGGAAAAACAGAAAAGACTTTTGGTTGCAAAGAAAAGATGAAGAACTTAGACTTTAGGATAATAACATAATTTTTTTTGAAAAAAAAACAAAGCCGATGTGTCAATATATTTAATTGAAATGGCTTCTACTTGACATATAGTGTCTTATTATGGAAAATGAGTTTAAAACTACCTTACTATGAGAAATAAGATTTAAAAATACTGTATTATGAAAAAAGCCTCTCTAAGTTATGGCCAGTTTATGAAGACAAGTCTCAGAATCGGGGATTAGCTTGACATTAAATGGTGATAATATTGCCCTGTGCAAGGCCTTAGTTTTTGGTATTTGTGATTTCGATGTTTCATTGTAACTAGCTTGTATTTTCCGTGCCTACCACATCCTTAATCCATGAGAGCATACTGGAACCTGCAGTTTTATAAAATTCTCTAAATTCATATATCACCAACAATTATTTTGATCAATTGCACTTTTGCTTTCTACGAAATGAGGAGGAAATTTATTCCTAGTTTCTCGTCAGTGTTTTCAACCGTGCAGTTCTTTTGATAGGATTCAACCACATTGTCTGCCTTGCCAGTTTCTCACCTTCTGAAGGCGCATTGTCAATAACTTTGCAACAGAGATGCTCCATCAGGAATGTCAATATTTATCACTAGTTTTTAACATGGTTTACATAAATGATGAGAATGATCCGACTATACGATTCATTCGTGATTTTCATTTCCATTTTCTTATATAAACAATATTTCCTTAAATGGTTTTAACGATTCTGAAAAAGTTGCTTCAACTAGGAATTTTAGTGTCCCAATGATAATTGACTCGGGGATTTCAGGCGTTTTTTATGGAAGGGATCTTCATTAAGACTCTTCAAGATTTTTTTTTTTTTTTCGGTTCAAAAAATGCAACCTGACAGTACACGGAATGATTATGATTGCTGATTAAATCAACTAATGAAAATTGGTCAAAAGTATGGAATTTTTGTAGACCAAAGCTAGAAATACATGGCTTACTTGGCCTAATTTACTGTAGGGGGGTAGATTTGATCAAATTCACATAATAGAAAGGCAATTTTTAGCCATATATCCCCATTCCTCTGATATACTGGAAAGTCATTATTAAATACACTTTGCTATAAAAAAAGTCGCTCAAGGATAAAGCAGGGTTGCTATACAATTTAATCAAATAGGTTGACAACTAAACTATGAGTGGAATGCACTAGGCACTAGTCGTTTGGCCATTGTTCTCTTGTCCAGATATGTCTGCATAAAATAATTGAAATCGCCATCACAGAAAGCTTTGAATGGGAGCTGACAGCTTGAGTTCATGTGCAGCTTGAAAAAATTCTGCCGCTTGTTTTAAAGAGCCTTCCAGTTTTGAAATCAAACCAAGATTTAACCATGCTTCATGATTTGTGGGGTCCAATCTCAACGCATGCATTAAAAAGCTTCTGGCAGTGGGAAATGACTGGGTACCAAGCTTCATCAATACTTCTGCAGTTGCAACAATACTCGGAACATAATCGGGTTCCACTGACAATGAAACCGAGAAAGAAACAAGGGCTTCCTTGTGCAGTGATTGAGCTTCAAATAACATTCCTGCAAAACCATGAGAATTCAATTTTTTTTTAAGCTACCATGCTTCAGGACATTCTTTCTGTAGGCAGACCTGTGTAGAAAGTTGTACTTTACGAGACTTAAGTTACAAGAGATAGTAGCCAACCTGTCGCATGCCAACTTCTAGGAGAGTGAAACTCCATCAACTTGGCTTTGTCCACACAAATTTTGGCATCAGTCCATGAACCAATTTTTGTGTAAATGGCTGCCAAATCTTGCCATGCTGCCAGTTCCAAGTTTCTTTCTGCGAGTACCTGCAAAGGAGGACAGCATTCAACACATTTTTGCTCCAGAGTTGAATGCTTAGTTACCTAAAATTGGAGCATCTTTCATGCTAGTGAAGTTGATGTCAGGATGATATGAGATAAATCTTCTTCCGAGTTTTGACTTGCAGCACAAACTAACATTATCTATGCAAAACTTGGTATATTGTAGCTAAATTTGAGACATTTATGATTTCTCCGAACGTAATCTTAAACCTGATTTATGACTCTGTAGACGATAGATGACAAAGTATGTAAGAAGATATACCTCAGATTTGAAAATATGGGCTTGCTCAGGGTTCTTGGCTTGGCTATCCCGCTGTGCTTGAATAAGAGACAGCAATATTCTATATGTTTCTATTGCTTGCTTGGGCTGTTCCTGAGCAATTTGTAGCACAGCCTTCAATCTAAGAAGTTCAAATTGATCCATCCTCCCAGCCTCGTCCAAAGCAAACTCCACAGCTGTTTGAGCATCTCTGAACCGTTGCTCTGCAGAAACTACAAGGGCCAGTAACTTCCAACCTTTTACTGAGTTTCCAGCCATCATTTCAGTGCACACAATTGCATTGTCAAAAGCAGCACCCAGGTTCCTCTGCAGCGTGTTTTCTATCCCAAGGCTGTACATCACTTCTGGATCCTCCTTCCTATTTAATGCTGCATTATTTAGAGAGTTCAAAGCCTCTTTATGTAAGAGAACTCTTTCAGAATCAGACAAGGAAATTCTTGCCGCATTCCCATAGCAAACACCAAGGAACTTGTGTGCCTGACCGATGAAATGTTGATTCTCATAATCAGCCAAATCAAGCACCTTACGAGCAAAATTTATGCCTTCATGAGCATGTGTTGGGTCTTGGGAACATAACTTGGCTCCCAACAAAAAGGAAGGGATGTGTGGTTTATTCTTTGATTCTGAACAACCCAAAACTTTCTTTAACAGGTTCAGGGCTGCTTCGTTCTGACCCGCAGCACTGTAACAAAGAGCAAGAAGGTGCCATCTCTCGGCTCGGTTATAGACACCTGGAAGGGCCTGCTCCACATGCTCAGCTAATAACTCAAACTGTCCAACCATTGAGAGTGCATAAGTCAGATGGTCCATGATTTCTTCATCCCATTTTATTTCCCCACAAGCCACCTTACTCATGAGTACTAATAACAAGAGGATTGCTTCCTCTGTGTTACTCTGGGGGCTAGCTGGACCCCATGGCTGTAACTGAGGGGGAAGTCTTGCTTCAACAGCACTGTAAAGTAATATACAAGCTAATTCCTTTTGCACCCCAGCCAACTTCTGTGGGTCCAAATTCCATGGCCTGATGAGAGCCCTACGATATGAAGCGATAGCTTCATCAAGCAAGCCTGCCTTTGTCCATAGAGCAGGTAGCAACTCTAATGCTTTGTGAAACATCTCCTCCAGCTTGCAGTCTTCGCTAATGCTTTCGGGAGTGCCATTAGGTAGAGCTGATTCAACTATGTCCAAAATAATTCTGCATTCCTTTGCAGCGTCTGGTGAATAGAACAAGCATCAGAACCATTTGAGTTTTTGAATAGCAAATACCAAAACGTACAGCAATATCAAGCCAGTGAAGTCCCACATTTGGGGTCCAAAAATGCTTTATGCCAAAAACCAAGATTCGTAAAGAAAGAGCATCCAATAATTCAAATTGCATAACTAGTATTTTTTTTATTTTTATCTTTTTTCTAAAAAAGAAGATTGAAAAGTAAATGAGAGGGGAAAGAATGCTTTTTCGAAAGATCTAGAGTCCATTAATATCCTTTGAATTGCCAATTCTACAAAAGCCCATCCAATTTTCCCTATTTGAGATATAACAGTAACAAGTTAACAAGAGACAGAAAAAATTATACCTCTATACTGCCCAAGTTTCTCAAGTGATTTTGCTTTAAGCAGCATTGCTTCAACTAGTAGACTAACTGAATGCATAGACATCACACTAGGAGGCACAATTTCACCTTTGGAACGCGGCTTTCTATACTGAATTCTTTCAACGATAGCCTTGATCATTTTTGGGGTCAAACCCTTAATGTCGATGCCCTGGAATACCTGAAGGGCTGCATCAAAATTCCCTCTCTGATATTCAAGTCTCCCTAGCAATGCCCTAGCTTCCTATATCACATTCAAAGATGAGAACATTAAAAGAGCAATTTTGTATTATTGGTGGGAGTCGGTGTTAAAAGTTATAATGTACCCACCTCATAATTCAATGAGAGAGCCTCTTTGAGAGTAGATTCAGCTTCATCCACTTGAATGTCATCAAGTTTAGACTCCCAGTCTCCAGTTGTCCTCGACGAAAGCCCACTGGCCGAGAAATCCCTTGTTGCCAGTGACTCCGGAGACTGCGGTGGTTCATCAAATTTGAATTGCTCTCCTGAGCAAGCACACAACATCTTGTCCAAAATCCAAATTCAGATTTCTTTTGGTGAAGTTGAAGCAAAAATGTCAGCCCTCGGTCAATTCTTTCAAGTGGGTTGGGTTCGCCTAAAAATGATCTTTGACAAAAATATTAGTAGTAGTCTATATGTTAAATCATGAAACACATTATTCAAGCTATAACCATGGCATTTATGGCAGCTAACAGTACGTCTCTCTCAAACAACAATGCATATCCATAGCAACCAACGATGACCCATTTAATAACAGAGCCCCAAAAAAAACAAAGCATTGCAACAGAAACCCGCAAAAGCTCGCAAAAAAGAAAAAGAAAAAATGAAGGTACAGAGGGAAAAAATTGAAAGAGACGAGCAAGAATGAGACAAGACAAGTGCATATAAAAAACAACAAAACACAGAGGCAGGAAATGAAAGGGGCGAGACATACAAGAGGGCAGAGCTTTGAACTTACCAACAGGCAGAATCAATCCAGAGACGTCTGTTTATTTGCAGCAATCATTTTCAAACCATGAAAGCTACATCTACATTAGTACTGTTTTCTCTAATAAATGAAGTGTTCTTTCTTTTTTAGTGAATTGGAAGAAGAAATCATAGTTAGAGATCTGATAATGAGAACTGAGAAGGCCTGGCTACTTTGTTTTTCCCTTTTTTTTAACTGTTTCTTTATAATGCAAAGGTCGAAGCTGTTAGCCTATTACAGAGTGATTTTGGCAGGTCAAGTATGGGCCAATAGACCTATATTATAGGGGATTAGTTGGTGGCAGTGGCGCAGGTCTTCCTAGATTCTCTTCTTTCTTTTTTTAATTTCAATCCTCTTGTTATATTTTGTGCAAGGAGTATTTGTTTGGACAGTGATTGGAAGCACACCTTGATTTAGAAATACATCCCCGGTAAATTCGAAAATTGTCCTCTTTTACTGTTTTACCATGACCTTCCTAATAGTTGCTGCCAACCATATATCCTGGAGGAACAAGGCTGAAAATGCATACAAGTAGCCACACATCTGCTAATTATAATTTTAACTTTACTTCGCATGAATCTTATATCGTGTTAAAAAATTAAAAAATCAAATTATCACCAAATTCTGTGAATATTTTTTATTAATATTAATTGAAGTTTATAAAAAAAAAACTCATCATGATCCAAACTTGATTGCATATTAAATATTCAATTCAACAATAAATCATACAATAAAGTTCGATAATTGTGAATATTAGATTAATTGATAGATTGGTTATTTTGAAAAGGTCTTCAAATCACCTTGAAAAACAAAGACTCAGATTTGTTTTGAAAATGAAACCAATAAATTTCTCAAAAAAAAATTATATAATTTCCTGCCTTCATAAATTTCTTTTCCGTGCAGTAATCAAATGCCAAAAGATAAAAAGAGTATTCGATAACTTCCAAAAAGTGGAAACATGAAAATTCATGGGCAATTTTGAATTCAAATGCGTACCCACCAAAATTTGTTGGCATTTTTTAAAGCGAAGGATCTCGTGCGTGCTTGGATGACGTGGCTTAATTGTTTTGAATTTGTTTTTTCAACTTGCACTTGTATAACGCCTGAGGGACCCTAACATCCTTCCTTCTCATTAATTCGCTAAGAAGAAGGAAGTCTCTTTAATAAATTATACTCGATAAAACTATCCACTAATGACATACCATCTGAGAACTACCATCATCACAATCTTGGAAGAATCGCTGATTCGTGTTTTGGAAGTGGGTCTAATGTTCCAGACTGGAGGTACATATGGTTCAACAAATATATATATATAGTTTGGAACAGGAGAAAATAATTGGTCTACTTGTACTGCTGTATTAGTAGTTTGTGCTTGCTGACCTGTTTTGGTGAATCAAAATATAATTTACAGCGGTTAGGCAGGGACAAACATACCGAATTAGAAAACTGTACCGTACGGAAGAAAATTACGTATTACCGCAGATTTAATAGTGAGTGATGCACTCAGAAAAAAGAAACATCCACTGGATCATAGTTTTAGGGGTTAACCCTTTTTGACTGGTTTCAAAAACATTTTTAGGCCTCTAAAGTCCAAACTAAACAGTAATCACGTTAGCACCATTCACGGTGCTCGAGAAATTTGGCAGGGAATTAATCCAAACATCTACTAGACTGTATGTATAAAATTGTCAAATTTTTATATAAATTTTAATATTTGCCATTTTAATATATCATTTTTCTTCTATTTGCTTCTATTAACTTATACCACATGATCGTTAACTACACAAGTAGAACCACCATGTGGATCCTACTATCTGACACTTAGCAATTAAAAAAAAAAAGTTTATTGCATTCTGGGTGTACAATTTTCCTCTTTTTTTTATCCTATTTAAATATCTTTGTGGTTTGAACATACCAGCTTGCAATTGCTTTTTATCCAAGTGTTTTTTAAGCTTATGGGTTCATTGACTGCTACGTAGCACCGTCATGTGGTCCTGTTATTAAACGCAGGACAGCTAAAAAAACTTAAATACTAAATTCTTTCTATAATGTAAATCTACCCAATTATGTTTTGAAATGATACGGTTTGATGAAGAGGAGCTCTAGACCTGGTAGAACTTGTCCGTGGCAATGGTTGAAAGTTGACGGTGGTTGAAGTGGTAGTAGTTCGTTGGAAATTGATAATTCGATTTTGTCTTTATATATATATATATATTCAACACAAGTAATTGTAGCTTGTCCATTTATCTTAATTTTTTTAATAAAAAAATAATTTGATCGTAATTGTCGATTTTAATATGTGGTTGTAAGTTTTGATGTTAGTGGCGATAATAGATTTTTCCCATAATTGTAGGTGTGGATTTATTGCTTTGTGGCTGTGGAAGTTGTCGATGGTGGTACTCAGGTATTGGGTTTACTTGTAATTGTGAGATGTGCCAAGGTGGTTTGGTGTTTTCCTTAGAGATGAGGAAATAAAATTAGAAATACTTATCACTGGTTGTATGGTGATGGGTGGGTATTTGAAAGATGAGGATGCCAAATGGGTTTTAATTTACAGTGAAGGATGGTCTAGATCTGAGAGGGATAAGATATATTGATTAAAAAATATTTTTTAATTTTATATATTTATTTCTGCAGTAGTGTTTTTTTATACAAACATTTGTTAAATAGTTTTTTTGAATTTTTAATTTAGGTTTGGTGGAGTGAAATTTATAATTTGTACGTGTCTGATAATAAGGCTTATGTGTTGAGTTAACAAATACATTGATAGAGTTAACAAAATTACTCAAATAACAATATTGAAATTTACACACTAAAATGGATAAAATTGATAAATGTAATAAACTTTTTTAATTGCTACGTGTTAGACAGTGGAGTCTATATAATTTCACCATATGAGTATTTAACGGCCACATCAACACAAAGTTAATAAGAATTAATGAAACCATCCAAATAAAAAATTACAATTTAATATATTTAAAAAGCAAAAGTTACATCAAAATCCCTTATGAAAAAATAATTAACAACTTTATACAAAAAAATACACACACACACATATATATATATATATATAATTAAAGTTCATGCACCAATCACCATGATTTGCAGGATCAATGAACTCATGTTGGTACTATTATTTTCTTTCTTACGCCCTTCAATCCATTGTTTTTTTTTTTTTTTAAGCATCACTAAATGCCAATTTACATCAAAATCACTCATGAAAATTTCATTTTCTTAGTGTAGGCTTGTTCAAGTTTAAAGTTTAGAAATCTTTCAAAAAGAAGCATGTTTATAGAATTTAACTGTTGAGTTTACATTTCATTCAAAAAATTTAAATTATCGTGGGAGATGACAATTCTCAATTTTTTTTATTTAATATTTTTTTATTATTCAATACAATACCATCTCTTTAATAATCTTTTTGACTCATAACTCATTTTTCAAACTATATTAAGTAGTTTAGACTTTTGATACGAGATAATTGGGTCAATAATTTTCTTCACTTGCAATCAATTTTTGGAGTTTGTCAAGCAACTGGGATTAGAGGATATTTTTCTGGATCATTAGGTCTATCCAAGGATCTGATAATATGATAAATCATATAGCTGAATTTTAATTTCATCTAAAAGAATTAAATCTTGTGTTTATCTAATAATATAAAAGAATAATATTAAATTACTTTTTTCGTCTCATTCAACAAATTAACCTTTTAGATTAACACGTACAATCGATGACAAATGATATTTAGAAAATAAAATTTAGAGATACATTTCGCAAGGAAGTCGGTAACTTAGTGTATTGGCGTATAGAAAACCAAAATAACATACACCAAATTATGTTAGTTTTCATAACTCAACAGAGCTCACAAGACAAAATTGTATGTTATTTTACTAAGATATTGTTTAGTAATTAGGAATAAAATGATGAAAATGGGAATGAAAATTAAGAAATCGAAATGACATTTATATTCTCATACCGTGTTTGGAATACCAATGAAAAATCGGAATGTAATTTAAATTTTTTAATATCTGTTTTTTTTTTTTTACAAATAAAAATAATAATTAAAAAATAATTTTATCAAACTATAATAATCGTAAAAATAATAAAAATGATGGCGAGTGGTTATGAGAGTGGTGGTTCTAATTGTAGTGGTAGTGGTTACGGTAATGGTGGTAGTGGTGGTGGTGATTGTGATGGTTGTGTTGTTGTTATTGATGGTGGTGGTGGTAAAAATAGTTAATAGATAATAAATAAATAAAATATATTATTATTTTTTAAAAAAATCATTCTCGTTCCTTATTTTTATTTCCACATCTTATGTGAGAATGAATTTATGTGTAAATTTTCATTTATATTTTCATTTCATTTCTTTTAACCAAATAGCTACAACATGAAAATAAAACTTTCATTCTCATTCTAACTACTATATTCCTGATTATTAAATAATATCTAATTATTTTTCGTATGGGATATATTTCTCTAACAATATTATAAAATAATATAAAATTATTTTTTGGATCTTCATACATCAATTTAT